ACTTCACCCTTGCTGCTGTCTTTAATGTTCAACCGCTAAAAATGCATTACCGATCTGTAAGACCATCAGATATGTCACCAGTTTTATAAACAAAATGCATGGCGTACATCTCACAGCAAATCGTATTTTATTGCTCGGTGTCAAAAACGATGTAAGCAAGGTGCTTCCACTAGAGAACACCGATCAGTTTCATGTGCGCATGCGAACGCTAAGTCATTTTGCTGCTCATCCAATGGAAATTTCACAACTAAAGTCGAATTTTGTTTTATTTATTTTGAATATATTCCATGGATGGCTTTGGGTTGAGAGTTCTAGCTAAGGAGAGCTTGTTGCGTGCACCTTGATCGCACCACTCGAGACGCGTTGATCCAGTTCATTGGTACCCTTGGCTCTAATCTGCCACACGGAATCGCGAATCAGGGGCGTCGCTTATATACTCTTGGGGGGGGGGGGCTGAGCCCCACCCTCAATGCCGATTTGAGTCCCCCAATGCACATCACCAAAGAGGGAGTATTGTGCCAAGTAAATACAGAACGATTATTTTAACTATTGCTATACTATATGGTAGTAAGCACGTAAAGCATCGCCATTAGCATCATGTCAATTTTGCACCAAATAGTATCTTTTAGGCACCTATTTTTTTGTCATGCCGACTCCTTCATGTGGTAAGCCGGTCTACAAATGTTTCATAAGATTTTCCGATGACATCGCCCGGATTGGGATTAAGAACATTTGGCTGCAACATGCAGCAGCTTTGAAAAGCGCAGGGTATCTCAGCTAAAGGTTAGCGCGTGTTTTCCCAATAGTGGCATGTGTATTTGTACAGTGTACCGTGTATTTATCGTATAATCGTGGCTGTGGTGGTCATACAAAATGATCAGTTACGCGTGCGGTGGTCGCCAGCGATTCCTTATTACAATTGATTAAGACGTCTTTCTCTGTGGATTGCATCGAATTCTAGGATTTTTACAAAAAGGCAGTTCACATTACTTGAAATGGGAACCCATTCCTCCAGAGGAAAACAATTCCGAGCCAACAAAGCATATTTTAAAAAGATATGTTTATATGCAACACCTAGGAACGCTAATTCACTGACCAAAATCTGGCAAAAATCAGGTTTTGTGGAGATTGGGTTAACCTCTTCGACTGCGCCCTCCCCCCCCCCCCAACCGGTTTCTAAAACGTGACATATCTGTTACCTGCTGTGGCGTTTTTACTACAATACTACGACACGACCTCTGACCCAGATGACGTCATTTGGCCACTTGACAGCTGACCTTGTCCATGTCAGCCAGGCGAGACTGCATGACTGCTCTGTGATTCGTACACAGCATCAATGGACTATAAGGTCAGCATACGTCGCTTAGAATGACTGCAGAGTCAGCAAAGAGAAGGGCCTGGTTGATACAAGTGATGTTTTTCCATCACCTAGGGGGTCAAAATCATGAATGGTTGCACCGAAATCAAGCGTGCTTTGCAGAACGTAGCGTCCTTGGAATGTATTGCTGTTTTTTGGCGTACGTGCAGCGCACTCATTTCAAGCATCCTTCTTTGAAAGGTTTCTTCCGCATCTCAGTTTCTTGAATAAAATGGGCTGTGTAAGGTCGCCGAGAGACGAAAGCGTCGGCTTTTCTAAGCAATAGTCGCGGGCTTAAAGGTTAGTATTTGCTGAAGATGATAGCTCTGCTGGCTGGTGTAGTGGTTCCAGTTATATTTGAAGCCGATAGATGGCGTGGTTGGAAACAGGATCCCTGCTGCTGGCTCGACAAACACGAATGAAGTTGTACCGAAACCGGCAACAAGTGCGCACACCAGGCCTGTCACCACCAGGAACACCAGGAATGCTTTCTCCATGGGCTCGCAGCTTTCTGAAAGGAAGAAAAACGCAGTCGTGGGCATGCGCGCATTCGGGTAGGGGGGGGGGGGGGGCGCCGTACGTACTATCCTAGCCATGAACCTGTAATGCATTTATGAGCACATGAGTAAATGTCCGCAATTCACTTGTCCAGATCGACAAGTACGAATAATCAAAATGCTAGCATAAAAATGCAGATGTTTCTTGTAAGGCCGGTAGCGTACGGCAAGTCAAATTCAGGTCATGGATTTAGCGTAGTCAATTTCTAGGGAATCATTCGATCTGATGCAACAGCGGAGTGTTAGACGAAGCTATACATCTCTGAGATAATTTCTTAGGCAACATAACAATTGGATGACCAAAGTCCACTGACCTAGGATCTGGTATGAAGGCCAGACCAAGGTCAAAACCAACCCGTTTTGTTATTCTAGCTATACATCTCTGAGATACTTTCTTAGGCAACATAACAATTGGATGACCAAAGTCCACTGACCTAGGATCAGGTATGAAGGCCAGACCAAGGTCAAAACCAACCCGTTTTGTTACTCTAGAGTTTGCTCGTTAGCGTAGTTTCTGGTGCCTAGTTTGAATTTATTGATAAAAGGAACCGCGTTATACATCTTCCATGGACTTACCGAAGGTCAGAATGGGTTACTGGCCTAAAGTGACCCAGGTCAACATTTTGTTTTTTCAGGAATATACTGCCTTACGTAATGTCTGTCGCTTATTGAAAAGCAAAACTCAAAACAGCGGCTACGGTTTTGGTCATTATGACCTTCGAAATATAAGAAGGACCACTGATTTTAAAGGATCGTGAGACCTTTTGCTTAGAACAGGTTTCTAGGTTCTGGGGGTGCTTTGGAGACCAGCCTGGAGTTTGACCTTGCTTGACCTTATTTAACCCGAAGGTCGTGACCTAGGAACCTCAAACTTTACCCTAAGTGGCTTCACATATGGGCCAACCCACCCTGTGAACTTGGTGTCTCCAGTTCTCTTAGTTCCTGAGATCTCAGGGGTCAAATTGACCCCACCCGAGCGAAGGGTATGCAGCCCGGGCGGTCGTGTTAACAGAACATGACAGCAAATCCGGCAGATAAGAGCAGTTTGGTGCTCCGCCCACCACACAGGTGGCAGCACAGTCTGTCCGTTTGCGCTCACAGGTCCACACGCGGCAGGCCGGCGAGCCGCAGGTACAGCAGAGGCGGCAGCACCAGCGTGATAGTGATGGCCAGCACCGAGATGATGTCGAGCACGTGGCCGAAGTCGGGCAGCGCCTCGCTCACTACAGCACCAGCAGTCCCATGCAGAGCGCTCGGAACGGAGTACTGCCCGCAGCTGCCTGCGCGCAGAGGCACGCCGCCGCTGAGAGGGAGCGGCGGCCGGCTGCTGGTCCGCGCGTGTGGCGAAACACGCTCGCGGTGAGCGGACGTGACGCTCGGCGAGCCCGGTCCCGGTTTGGCCCACTCGCCATGAGTGTGAGCCGAGGTCGTGTGACGCGGTCTCGACCCTTGCTGACGTGAACGCCGGATGCGCACATCATGATCTGTGTTTTAAAAAGAAGCCAACTCCTCGTAAGCAGATGTTTGATAATAATGCCGCCTTCTTATCGCTGTCCGCGCAATCTAATTTTGCGAAAACCGAATGTCCTAGTTTTGGTGACGTGAGCGCACTTTGCAGAGATGTACGTGGTGGGGCACATTCTGTGGATGATTTGTATAACAAGTGGCGTCCAGTCTCGTGAGTAATAACCGAACATTTGTTTTTCCCGGTGTGTCCATCCACCTTTTTAGGTTTCCGTCCTTAGGACGGCAGCGTTGCATGTCCGTATTGGGGCTGGCTTGATGACATGACATCCCCGTACAGCCGATCACGAGTAGCCAGTCACGCCCAGTCACTCAGCGCGCTGCGTGACCGGCGCTGTGTGACTGACAGAGGCGCAGCCAGAGCCTTGGCGAGGGAGGCACATGTTTAAGAAAGGGTCTTCGAATGAGACCCCCCCCCCTCCATCTCCAATATGAAATCGCCGAATATGGCCCATATGTTAATGGGGGGGGGGGGGGGGCACGACTTTCTTTGTTTCATCCCATTGATCTGTTTGAATTTTGAAACCAATCAACTAAAGAAACCAGAGGTAAACGGCTTCAGCGCGTAAATCGCTTCATTTTGCAGTGTTTCATTGTATTTTTTTCTAAATCGACAAAACTCAAAAGCTTTGCCGACATTTTGACCTGGGTTCTACATAGATATTGAGGACGTGAAGGTAGATTATGCATCAAAATGGGTCAAAAATTCGTGTTGACATGGGCAACCCATGTTTGCCTGGATCTGTTCAACATTCAGTCAGAATCGATCAGCCAGAACAATCGTCGGTCCCGTGGTTAAAACTAAGCGGTGACGAATGGGAGCACGACAATCTGATGGTGGAGCAGGAAGAGTAAAGGTGAACCTTGATTCGTCATAGGGCTGCGACGAATGATCTGTCTAAAGAACAACATCAAAATGGCAAAAAGGGATACGACCCAGTCTAAACTTTGAGCGGCACGGTCCACATTGAACGACTTTCAGAAGCATTATTTCACGACAGTCTTTCTCGCGTGCACTGCGCCCGCCGCCTGGTGGTGCTCGCAGTTTGACTCGGCTTTACGTTTTCGGTTCTACGGAAACTGCAAACCCGGCCATCACTGTTCCTGCTCCTGAGACTGCGAGCGCGCAGGCTAAACACTTTTTGATGTGATTTGTTACACTCGTCGACTCTGCAAAAGAATGCACGTTCTCAGACAAAGGTTCTGTCGTCGTGTAAGGTTCTCAGGCAAACACGACAAAAACCTATGTGTCGTCCAGACACCACCAGTACCGAACAGTCGGCTACGTGTCGGTATGGGCTTGAGGGCCAATTTTCCAAGCAGGGACAAAGCCGGAACCAGTGATTTATATTGGTTGGGATCCCAGCGTCTGTCAGGGGCCGCAGTGCCTAACCTTGTTGGCAAGCAGCCCGATTTGGCCAGAAGCAGTGTTCGAGGAGGCCTGAAGAGAGCCTGGAGGGCCCACCGGTGCCAATGATCAAAGGCCCGATTGGAGGGTCTAAGAGCAAAAAGAGATGGGCGGAGTTTTCTTCAGAGGCCGCGGGCTGCGGAGACGAGCCCTTAGATGACAATCTGCGGGGCCTTTGCACCGATCGGGGACCCCTGAGAGCCGTGCCGGTTTGAACCCCGGGGAACCATATCCCAAACAGGAACATGACCGCGGTCCGCGACCTGCATTGGTCGAAGCTGCTGCAATAATGCTGCGTCGACCAGGAGCCCGCAGTACCTGACACAGTGTCCGGTGTCAACAAGGGACCTCGAGTCGGTCAGGGAAATATTTGCTGAACAGGGACGTGGACAGGACCCCCAAATGTCAGCGCGCATCTTGCGTTGACTGGAGCCCTCTGTCAATGAAAGAAAACCTGAGAACTTATATTGATGATGATGATGATGATGAGATCATGGAAGAGACCTGTGCCAGTCAGGGCCCATCATTCCAATTGCAGCTATTGGCGGTTAAGCAGAACTGAAATCCGTGTCAACTACTGGACCACCCACGGCGATCAGGATGTTGCTGCCTCAATGAGGATTTCTGTGCCGATATGGGTCCAACTGCTCGAGTCACGAGGCTTTCCATGTCAGGCAGGGGAACAACTGTGATGTGTGATCATTATTAGGGCCCCCGGATCGAACAAGGAACCCTACCGCGTGTCGCTAGAATGGCAGCCGGCAGGCATACCGCGCTGGGACGGAATGGTTCTTCAGGGCTTGACCGGGGACGATGATGTATCCCCTGGTATTCTAGTTAAGGGCGCCTGGCAATCGGAAAGTAAGGGTTCTCATTAATTAATGTTAAATGGAGTAGGTTGAAAAGGTTTAAAAACGATGACGGCCGGCGCAAACGGCCCTCTGGCTGGCAATGGAGTGCCCGGCCCAGCGCGCCGTGGACAATTAATGCGACCTTCGCCGGCCTGTCGCCGGCCCCTCGAGCGCTAAAATGGGTCCCTTCATCGTCGGTCTCCGGTGGCCTGAAGGGTCTCTCAGAACCTGGGGGCAGCCACGTGTCCCCTGTGCCCCCTGCCTGCGCCACTGCTGACTGGGTGGGAGTGTTATACCGCTCCGTGGTTTTCTGTTTGGGGAGGATTATTCTACAACCACTGCTACATGAATCAATTACATTTCTAATTATATCCACCTTGCAAAGGCGGAGCATTACATCGCCGATCTCTCCGCGGACTAAGCCTCCGATTGCGGTGGAAAAGATCGGACCAGCTTTGACGACCGACGTGCAGTCGTCTCGCGCATGCGCATGGAACATCTGGCGAATCAATGATATCCGACCACGGTGCACTGTGCTAGATACATGATCTGTGAGCTACATGTGTTCAGTCTCACTGGTCGCGTGCTTCAGGACCTGCCGCAATGTCCTGGTGTGCGTTGTCCTAGTAATAGGCAAATTGCAATGGCCATTTTCGGGGAACAACCAACTTGCCTTCGGGTATGCTGAGTTTTTCTTCAAGCTCTTGATACAGGGGATTGATGTACAGGACAAAGCTGGTGAGAACATGCGTGAGCATAAGTATCTGTGGAGGGGAGAACATGCTATAACATCCGGCGGCGCCAACGAAAATATTAAATAATCGAACGGCGTGCGGTCTTTATTTACCAGCCATCACCACAGAATCAGACGCCGCTAACCTCGGCCGTGCACGTGGTGATAACTCTAATCACACTCAGGCGTCTGCTCACCTTGAGAAGGTGTTCAGCAAGTATCATGAAGCTGTTATGCTTCGTATGCGCTTCAGACCGGCAATGGAGACATGCCAGGAATGAGGAAACCGCACAACCATGTCATCCTTGTTATGTAATGCGATGCTCTCAAGTCTGTGGAGACGCTTAGCGGAAATTCCTAGCCACGTGCCCGTAATAACACCTGAATGAAGCAATACGCGCTGTACTATGGTTGCACTGCATATGCACCGACCTGTATGGCAAGCAGAAGCCTGCCGGGCTCCAGGTTGTGTACAACGTTCGACTTGGCATCACTTCCGATCAGGATGTAGCTGGTCACACCAAAAGACAGCACCATTACGGTGATCACTGCAAAGCGTCACCACACTTTGTCATTACCAGTCGTGTTGCTATTTTGTATGTGCACAAGCATAAAATCACGAGCAGACATATACATTGCGCGTTTTTAAATTAATCTCAATGCGCGAGCGTGCGTTACATTTTACGCCTGAATTTCACATTCTACCCACTTCAAACCGATTATTCAATACAGTTCTGCTGACAGCTGCACTCAAAGACCGAGATGTTTATCACCCATGACATCACTCAAACACCCAAAAGTACCAAACGTCAAAGCTGTTGTTTTAGAGGGTGGCATTGACCTCCGTAGACCATTAACACCTCGACGGCTTTCATTTTCGCCTCGCGACCGAACAGACGGCGACCTTCTCGGAATCCCGCGCCGTCCAACGCCGCGTGGATCGGCAGCCTGGGTCCGTCTGATGGGCGGGCCGCCGGGCCAGACAGGTGGCGTATTCCCTGGACCGCCGACGGCGGGGCGCGCCCCACCGTACCGCATGCTAATCCGGCGCTCGAGCCTCATCAGCAGGCCGGCGGTAGCTAACGGTGTCGGCGGCACATCCCACCCGTGTCGAGCACCGCCGGCACACTCCCACGGTCGGAGACGGGCCCGAGGACAGCGGCTCGCGTGCCACTCGCAGGTTTCGGCAGCGATGCTGATCAGACGTGGCACGTGAGGAGCGTGCCGGCCAGCAGCTGACCGTGAGAAATGAACAGGCAGCAGTCCAGGCTCGCCGAGACTGCCGGCTCTCGAGGGGAATGTTCCCCATTTGAAGAAATTAAAAACAAGCATCAGATGGGATGAAACAAGCTCACCTATAATTAGTTGTACGCTTTTTAAGTGGAAAAGGCTACTCTAGACAACAGTTGCTCTGTTTAGTAAAACTGCTCCTCAGTGCGTCGTTGAATGATTACGTCATCGTACCTTGCACAACATTGAATGGGAGCCAATTGACGGGCGTTATGGCTGGAAATCGTGCTCACGAATGCCAGATATGAGCGACTCCACAATTCTAAATTTCTTGGCCTTGATCGTCGCATGGCCAATTAAACGGCAAGATCTGAAGGACGTTGTTATGGCTTCACGGATGCCTTGGTAACCCTGAAATAGTGTCCCCGACAGAGTTTGCGCATCTTCGCGGGCATGTAGCTCAGAAAGTGGAAGGGCTTAGGTTTTGAGAAGGGCAGGGCTGTGAACTGTGGCGCACGATCTTCAAGACGGCTATTCCAGTTTAAAATTCCATACAAATGTGGAGCACTCCCTTTTTCATTGTTCAAGGGCTTTTCCCACGTGCCGGCCTTGCGATGATACTAGAGACCTGTAAGTGAACCCGACGAGACGCTCGCAGCGCTCAGGGACCCTCTGCATTGGTCCAGGACTCTTCGAGAACCCTACTTTTCTGTTGGGGGACTATGCTGTATTCCCGCCCGGGCACTCTCGGTCGCCCAAGGGCCCAGGAGCTCAGTGGTTCAGGGGCTCGATACACCGTTTTTCGATTAGTTCTGTTTGTTCGAAGGGCCCAGCGCTCTGACAGACAGACCCATACGTGAACCTCTGGCACTCTTGGTCGTTCAGGGGACCACCACATTGGTCTTGGGTACTTCTTGTTTCTTCTGAGGGCCCTTCGCTGTTGACAGTGGGAGGGGGGGGGGGGGGGTGACCTGTCGCGGCACCGTCTATCGCTCAGGGTGCAATCCTCATCGGTCTTGGGTTTTCCCATTTTCTCGGAGGGCCTATGTTAACGGGGGGCATTGCATGGTAATAGGCCGGGTGCTCTTCATCACTTGTGGCCCTCTTCATTGGTCTTGGGCTTTGTCCATGAGCTCAGAAGGATCCCACGCTGTTGCCAAAAGCCCTATATATGCTACGAGCGTCAGCACTCGCCAATTTATGATGTCTTGCTTGCTCGTGGGTACGAAGAGTTGATGGTTGGGTATCGTTGCCAGTACATGGTCGTGCTAAGCGTTACCTGTCGTGACGTTTAATTTAGCACTGGCGTAAGTAAAGGGCTTTTAGGACAGTAAAGTGAGAATGTATCTTCATCACAGCAACACGGCGAGGGCCGCCCAACATTCTTGATTGAGTTCAGGCCTGCATGACAGATTTCGTACACGAACCCAATATTGTCAAAATGATTTTTTTGCTCGTTAGGCACAGAAAGCAGTAGCCCCATGTAGTCCAAATAATTTTTAAAGGCAATAGCCTCAACAAATTTGCCAGCCTGAGATACATCATATTTAAGACGTCCGGCTGCTAAACTTGCAGCGCTCAAATATTGGTGCGACACAATATGACATTGTTAACACAAGTCCAAATAGCGTATTTCGTACTCCTTTAGCGAACACATGTGGTAAAAGATGCAGTTTTTGCCACCGTAAGGATGAGTCAATATTTTCTTCATACACATTCCAGCGAACCAGATCCATATCTTACCATAAATTCACATATTAGCCAGGAAAGCATGGCTTAAGAAGTTTCAGAGCTGCACGGATCACGCCACTTTCGCTTAGCACCGCGAACATTTTAATAAGTGTCATCAGTGGTGAGCTTCGTAAAAGTACTGAAATGCAGGTGAAGCCCATATGTAGAAGGGAAAGGGAATGTAAGCATTTTTCGGCCCCACCTCCAGTGTCTTATTGGCACAGTTGACGTGTTATTGGGGGAGGGGTGCTCATCATTGGGGGTCGTGTCTGTTCAAAGAGATATGATGTTCCACACACACATGCCACGTCACTTGCGTCCATTGTTTCCAATTCGCGTGGAAGTTATATGACTTCGCGCTCCAGCCAGTTCTGATCAGCGACCTACGGCATAAGATTTCACACCGGCTTCCCTCCACACAACGTTAGCGACTGCGCATAACAATATGTATTTATGTCCGGTTCAGGGGGTCGTGTGTCTGCAGCAAACACAGATCACGTTTGCTTCCTCCTGTCAACTTGGAGCCCAATCTTATCACTGCGCTCAGTGCAGACACCAGGTAATAGTCCTGTTCCGCAGCCCATCATTGCCAAACCGGTCTGAGCCAGCAGCCTTTTGTCAGATGCTGCAAATGCCGGCTTATCGGCCGTTACACACTATGATCACGCCAAATCCCAGCATTCCAAGCCGTGATTCCAATCTTTTAAGGCTCCACATTGATTTAGAAGCACGACAATGGCTCAGCCTAAATTGTGCTCATGATAGGATTGAATTAAGTAGCAAGGCATTCCTAGTGGTGTGAAGCGAGCAAGACGATACGTGATGCAAAGTGGTCAGACTTTGTCACGTATACAACGCTACAAAGTAACCTGATATGGCCAGACACTTTCAGCGACCGATGCGAATGGCTGCCAATGTATCAACGCGTCGGAAAGTCAACTTTTCGTGATAATTTAACAAGGGAGGTCAGAGATGCAGGTTGTCCGCACCAATCCATGAAGTGTCATTATTTGAAAAAGACCTGTTATGAATCCAGCCAAGCCCGTGAATTTTAGTCCACGACATTCATGTACATATGATAGGACGCGTATGAATTTGCAATGATGTATGGTTTCGGTAACTTAGACTAGCGATTGAAAACATGGAAATGCTTCTGGATTTTTCGTACGACTATTTTGAGATGTTAACCGTGCACAACAAGATGGGCTGCGAGCGTATGAAGTTTATATGCCTCCAACTTTCTCTGTTTATGTCCCAGCGTCACATAGTTAAGATCGGCTCAGAAAAAAGGGATGAATGCCACTCACCGTTTGATTCCTGGCACAACTTTCGGTCATACACCTTTCAGATTGGCTGAAATCTGACGTGAATCCTTAGAAACACCCTGAAGCGGGTAGGAGCATTGTTTGCGCACGAGAGCGTGGACGATTGGTACGAATCGAACCCATGCATTTTCCAATAGTCTTGTCTGATATTTCTCCGCCGGAATCTGCTGGCCCTGGACTCGATCTTGGTCTTGTGTCATTAAACTTTTTCTGCATTTGAAAGCTTTTTTCGCTTAATTGAATTATGAGTAGTAGCCTTTTCGGCAATATGCTGTCCGTGGCGCCGTCACGGATTTTGAGTTGGGAAGGGAGCATTTCCAGGGGGCCTCCAGGACAAAACGGAGCCTTCTCCCCGGGGGGGGGGGGGGGGCTCCTGGGCAACGTTGCATTCAAGGTGTGGAAAGGGGCACAGGGCAAACGTACTCCCTTAAAACATTGTTGCAAGTAGCAATATCCACATAAAGAGCTATCAGCAATCAAATCCCAGAATAAGTCGCAAAATATGGCTTCCTGTGCCAGAAAAAGACTTCCTGATGCATAGAAGGGCATGCATGATGCATGATCCAAAACAGGATCTTTCCAACTCACATACATGGCCACCAAATGCAGAGAAGGGCTTCGTTGCCAGAAAATAGGACATTTTATCCAGAAATAGGCCCTTCTGAAAAGTGGTGCGTGAAAAGGGCCCTTGTTCTAGGAAAGGGGTGTCTTGGCATGCATACATACATATATATATATATATATATATATATATATATATACCCATATACATACACGTGTGCATGCATGTCAATCCAGACAGCCGCCTCCAAGTTCATAACATTGGCCAACTTGATCATATGAAGGGGCTCCTATTTAACAATGCGAGTGTCTTATTTCACAATGTGGCCTCCTAATTGACAACAGGAGCTTCGTAGTTCATGATGGAAACCCCATGGTTAACAACGGGGTCTCCAAGTTCATAACGAAAACCTCATAGTTCATTATGGGGATCCCCTGGTTCATAAAGGAGCCGTCTAATTTGCAAAGAGACCTCACAATTCAAAACAGGGACTCCTTAGTTATAATGGGCCTCCTATTTTGTGACAGCGGTCTCCCGACCCAGTCAAGGGTTTCCTTAGCACGAATGTGAGTCTTCTTATCCAGAGCGTGCGCCACCAAGTTCATAAAGGCGGTCTCATGATTTTAAAAAACGGGCCTCTTACTGTAGAAAAAGTCTTTTGAACCGGATTTAGTACCGCTGGCGCAGTTAAGGCGTCTCCTTGACCTGAATCTGGGTCATTCACGTGAGTTACAAAGCCTTTGCCAGGTCAAAAAGGGCCTCCAAAAATGTTAACGGCAAAACTATGCTTTTGGTCCCTTCCTTGTTACGCCGACTCTGCGTAGGCTTCAGGAAACCCTCTTGTATAAGTAGTTAAGATGCAAATGCTCAACAGTTCCTAAAGCACAACTTTTACAGGATTAGAATTTTAGCTGCTGGAAATTACCTGGACCTGTCATCACTGGCTGCAAAACTAATGGGATCTAGAAAGCACGATGACCAGGCCGCTCATTTTGAATATGTTGCCTCAGCTTAAGTTAGACTAGGCCTGAGACCTCACTCACAGCAGCACGGAGCGAAATCGCCCATCCGTGACCATGCCCGCCCCCGAGCACCGCGCGCCGGCCCTCCCCCTCTCCGCTCCAGGCTCGCACCTATCCAGACGGCAGTGAGTGTGCCGGAGAAGGCGGTGCGGTCCCGCATGTCGGCCTGGATGGTGGGCTGCACGCCAGCCGAGATGAAGCTGCTGCACAAGCTGCTCATGCCGACCATCATACGCAGCGGTGTGGGCGGCCCCCGCGGCGGCGGCTGCGTCCGCTGGCAGAAGTCGGCGCACATCTTCATCAGCAGCAGCAGCCAGGCTGACAGAGAGGTGGCCAGTCCGACCACGCCCACCATCCTGCAGAGTGAAGGGTGGTGCCGGGTGCTCTTTCTTCGGTTCTGCGGCTCTGTGGCTTTCGCCGTTAACATGCGCTGGATACAAAACATTGTGCCCAATGCAGTATGCCTGATATCCAGCGCATGCATTCGTCACAGGCAAGCGTAGGATTCCGCGCAGTTGTAACATGCTTATCACTGTCTGTGCCCCGCGTTCGCTGTCAGTTCGATCATACCAAGCTGGGGCAATAGTTGGAAATTTTGCATTCTCAGCGGTTAATATCACAAATCACTATGTCAGCAAGTTCAATAGCCAGCAGCGCTTGCGGTCAAGTGGCACGGCATGCCCGATAAGTACATAGCTTTGCCTTGCCGGGCCACACACCGCTGTGATGATCGGCCGACCGGCTGCAATGGAATTACGGGTGCATTTAGGGATTCAAACTCCAGTTATAATCAAACGACATCGAGAAGAAACAGGCACAGTATGCCATAAAGGTCGGCTGCAATTTCTACTAAGATGAGCAGAGGATATCTAGTCCACCTCATAACGATCTTAGTTATATTCAAAGAGTTGTATCCAAAATATGACCAAAAGTATTTGTTCATGCTTGCAACAAAAAGGGTCTAAAGCCTTCACGCACATCAATCTGGTGGTCGGTCGATGCATGCGTTTTTAAGCCCGTAAGACACACGTCCAAAGTATATGGTGTTATGGCAAAAAGTGCAGCGTGCAAAACATAACGCAAAATGTACAGACTGAAAAATGTAATGTAGCCGGCTTGCAACTCGAAATGTAAACCATATCAAACGCCTAAAAGTTTTCTTAATTCATCTTAAGTATTCAGACAAAGAAAGAGCCGCAATCGATAAGCCACCGCAAATTGCCCACAAATACCGGACAATAGGAGGTGTTGTGGGCATTCAGACGAGCAAGCAAAATCCCTAGGGCTGTTCTTTTCTAAAAGGCTGTCCACATGACCACACAGGAGATGAAAGAAGAAAGTATGCCCAGACTGCTAGCGCAGCGGCGCTAGCGGTCTGAATTATGGCTCCTTCAGAAAAATAGCATGACGGAAGATGTGCGGCTTACACGGTGGAATCACACGCGCCTCCGAAGCGCGTAAAAAGAAAAGTCCGAAACTAAAAAACCATTAAAGAGGGTACTAAGTTTACGCAATGTTGACGCTTGCGTTGAAAACTAGTTGAAAGTGAGGTATCTCTACCGGCAACAAAAATAAATCGATTACTGGTGCGATTACCAGATTTATGTATTGTGCCTTGCATTATTTGGAAATGTGCAGTTGCTACAAACCTCGCTCACTCGGAACACCACCACAGGGCTTCCGGGTTTGCTCACGTTTACCGCTTTGCGAATAGGCCATAGCGCTGTCACTGCGATGCATCTCATTTCCGCAATGCGGATGCACTGTAGCTTGCCTGCTGGATGATATCCGTGTAAAGGACGAAAAAGAGCACAAAAACCTGCTAGCGTTGGCACGCTATTACACGAAAAGCATGATCAGGTCATGCACTACTCAAGGCCAATGCACATATACATCCAAACTAGCAGATCGTCAGCTTCCTTGTTGCCTCAACAAAAACACGTTTGCAAAGTTGTCACTAAGTCACTGGATGCTTGGCACCGTAGAGCCGACCTGAGCCTCCAGGTGGAGACAGGAAACAAGTCTGCAGCAGGACTTGGCTGGACGGAGCAGAGCTTTATATAGTTTCAACAGGAGTATGCAACAGAACGAAGTAGATTGTGAACGCGGACAAAAATAGTTCTGATCGGAATTTCAGAAATCGTCTACCGATCGCCTACAACATTAGAGACAAGAATAAGTGTCCTGTAGAGTGCTTGAAATGCCAATTCATTAATGATTGGACATAACATTTTAACAACGAGTTTTGTCGAGAGCAGCCCAATCGCTAAAGAAGTCCCACAACCTCCAACATTCACATTGAACGCGTGATTGCAAAACCTCCTCACGTTACAAGTTATGACTTACCAGAAGTTTTTCGGCGACTGGAACCAGGTAAAGGGGCAGAGGAAGGTCGCCAATAAGATGATCATCAAGCAGATGGTCGGCTCGGCGCGGGGGAAGGCGTAGGTGATGATGGTGGCCACCAGGTCCGAGGCCAGCACGAGCAGCATGACGGATGTCAGCGTGTCCGAACGGCCATCACCGTCAGTGAAGTCATGTGTCTGCAACATCGCCACCATCAACGGTTGTCACGCGCCTGAACGGAGTATGATGATAATTATCAATGCCAAGAGTGTACAACATCACCGTTTCATTGTTACTTGACCTCCACGGCACCCGGCTCCGTGCATTACAGGCTCAGGCATCGAATTGGCAGCCAGTGGGCGGGTGACCAACTAACATCGCCCCATTTAGATTAACGATATCCCCATGTTTAGATTAACGATTTGATGCAAAACCAGTCTCAGCAGGCATTTGTCTTGCCAACCACTCATCTAGCATTCTGCTCGTCTCTATGCACGTTTCAAATGCCAGGCTTCAATCCTCTGACAAGCCGCTCTCACCAGGACACGAGCAGGGTCCCAGTGGTTTGGTGACCCATCCAAACTGGCCCGAGACGCCCCGTCCCCGTGCTGACCCAGCTGACCTGACCCGGTGCCACCGGATTCTGGTGGCTCTGGGTCATCCCACTCTGATGAATTAGCTGATCTGACTCAAGGTTGTCGGGCTCCAGTGACCAAAGATTCTTCTCGAGCAGCCCGACTGACCTTGCCCAGGCTGGCCCTTCTCTAGCAAGTTGACCGACCTTGCCCAGGCTGGCCCTTCTCTAGCAGCCCGACTGACCTTGCCCAGGCCGGCCCTTCTCTGGCAGTCCGACTGACCTTGCCCAGGCTGGCCCTCCTCTGGCAGCCCGACTGACCTTGCCCCAGGCTGGCCCTTCTCTAGCAACTTGACCGACCTTGCCCAGGCTGGCCCTTCTCTAGCAGCTCGACTGACCTTGCCCAGGCCGGCCCTTCTCTGGCAGTCCGACTGACCTTGCCCAGGCTGGCCCTCCTCTCGCAGCCCGACTGACCTTGCCCAGGCTGGCCCTTCTCTAGCAGCCCGACTGACCTTGCCCAGGCCGGCCCTTCTCTAGCAGCCCGACTGACCTTGCCCAGGCTGACCCTTCTCTAGCATCCAGACTGACCTTGCCCAGGCTGGCTCCTTTCTCTAGCAGCCCGACCGACCTTGCGCCCAGGCCCGGCCCTTCTCTAGCTGCCTGACCGACCTCGCCCAGGTTCCAAGAACGCGGTCGGCGATCAGCGGGTACGGCTGGTGCACGGGTCCGCTGAGCGCAGGGGCAAGCGCCTCCACCATGGTCCAGCCAGCAGGCCAGCAGGTGGGAGGTGAAGCAGCCTTTGCAGGGACCAGTACCAGCACAAAAGGCACCGCCAGCCAGCCTGGGGCCCAGCCGGTCGCCGGTGTCAGGTCGGCGGCACCGCCCAGCAGAACATGGACACAGCAGGACGGCAGCTGGTGTCGGCTAACGACACCGCTGGGCAAGACACAGACACAGCAGGACGGCAGCTGGCGTCATGCCGGTGGCGTCGCTCGGCAGAACACAGACAGAACATGATAACAGCTGGCGGCATGTGTCAGGCATTGGCGGATGCGGCGGGCGGCGGCGAGCGATGTCGCTCAGCACGCGAGGCGTGGTGTGCACAGCATGGATAAAGAACATGAACAGTACGGGCAGTGAACATGCACAGCACGGGCAGTAAACACGGACAGCACGGGCTGAGGAAATAGACGGCACGGGCATTGGACGATAACAATACGGCGCAGTGGATATAAACAGTGCGTCAGTAGTGGGCTGGCATGAGGAACTGCACAGCGATGGGGATTCCACGAACTGGCAGGATATTGACAACACCAAGAGGAGGAGGGGGAGGGGGAGGGGGGAAGGGGGGGGGGTGGGGCGAGTAAGCCAAGCAGAATGCTGTTAGCTGGAGGGCAGTGTTGTTGAATTGCACTTTCCATCGCCGTCCAAACAGGCCACATGACGGAAAACACCATAGGATAAGCAAATTTCATGACCCTTGTAACCTATTAAATCGCATACTTCAGCTTATTATAGAATGCCAATGTGTACTCCTGCCTGGCTTAAAGTTGGTTCACCGGAACATGCACAAATTCTTTGTTAACTTTCATCTAAGTTCCTAGATGCGGCGCATTCCCTAGATCATCTATGTCATTGGCGCGACCATTACAAATCGCGATAAGCCCGCTAAATGCAACCACAACATCGGCAGGTGGTAAATGCCTGTCAGCCGATCTCTGCAGCAGCGGCACCGTCGCTGGCGATCTGGGACGGCCGATAACGCTCAGTATTAGCATCAGGCATAAAGGGTGATAAGGAAAGAGTGGGACTGAAATATCCTCCATCTCGCAACCATGGTCTGGCGGTTTCGCCCTAGCTTCGTAGGAAGCATTAATTGGCAAAGCGTAGCCACTGCTGGAGAATTTCCGGGTGTACTTGCGTTTGTTTATTGCCAAATTAACAAAGGGTGGGACAAAAAAAGTCCCAAACATTCGATGTTGTGTCAAGCAATTTGAAAAAGCGAGGCATCTGTTGCCTCCTGTGAGACAATGTCTAAGGCCAGGGAGGCATCCAACCGAGCAGAGAAACGTGCCAAGACCACAGGTAACGGTAACTATGGTGTTTAATGCGTAAATGTTGTTCCGTCATCCTTTGTCTGATTGAACACCACATAACTTTTGTATGCAAGCGAAATGAATTCTACGAGGAAAGCTGCGACTGAGCTGGTACTCAGACAACCTCAAGGGATTGTATTTCGGTGGACGCAACGTGATGTGTGACCCGAGACCCGCATGCCGACTGTGCAGCTCAGGTGGTGGAGATCCGCTCCCAACCGGTTCGCACCCCTCTCCGGGCAACAAACCCATGCAAGAGCATACACAACAAATATCGGAAGAGAGGCAAGACCAGCAGAGCTTCAGCGCTGA